GGCACTTGTGACATCCTTAACAGCAAGCCAGCATGAGGCCACTTGGCACTTCTTTTGATGGATATGTGGAAGGGAATGTAAGCTGTCCCGCCATCCAGACTAGGAGTGGCCCTGATGGGTATTGGAACAGGGTGCCAAATGGCCGGATGGCTTTTATCCTGAACTCTGGCTGTTGTGCTGACCCCATCCTAAAGCTGCAGGCTGGGATGTTTTCTACTCCTGCAAAGGATTGCTCCCTGTTTTGAGCCTGCAGTGACAACTGGTGAGCATACAATAGCTCAGCAGTGGGAAGCAGCCTGGGGAGTGATGAGATGCAGCTTCAAAGTGCTGGGAAGGAGCCCTTCTTTTTATTGGTTTCTTTAGAGGATCAAATTAGCTGTCTGCTAAAGTCTTTTAATGTTAAAGCTTCCAGAGCATAAGCGATGACCTGTGAAAAGGAGTGTTTGAATCTAGCCCCTGCGTTGATGAGGTCTGGCATGTCCATTACAGCCAATTACAGTGACAGGTAGCGGACTGTAAACATTCCTGCTCCTGCTGCTCCCGGGCTGGCTCCAGCCTGAGATTCCTCCTTGGAAAAGGCACATCAGCTCCCTGCCAGCACACAGAGCAGCCTTTCAGAACCTCTGCTCAAGTGGTTCAGCATCAGCAGCCTAGAGGCTGAGACTTGGGCTCTTCATCCAAACCTGCTGTTCTTGAATCTTACATTTGTGTGAGGTGCAAATGTTATGTATGGAGCATCTGCTTGCAGCACGCTGCAACACATCCAGAATTTGTCCCTGCCTTGGGGCTTTCCAGCACGCTGCCCTGGTGGCAGCATTTGGATCTCGGGGATAAACTTGCTCCCAAAGTGGCTGCAGCAGGGATGTGCGAGGGTTTGCCTTAAATGGAGCTTCAAGTGTAAGACTTGAGTAACTACACAATCGGAGGAAGCCATTGCATTGAGCAACCTAATTTGTGGCCCTGAAATAGCTTCTTATTTGAATAGCTTAGTGAAAACACTCTGCACAGTCATCTTGAACCCTTGGAGATTTTAAACTCTCAGCTATTTGGAGAAACATGGTGCCCTTCCCGTGCTGCAGCAGGAGATGGAAGCAGTTTGCACTGCCTCTGCCCTCCATGCTGCCCTGGGAAGCTGTCTGAAGGCTGCGAGGCATAGCAGGACCTGCAGCCATGGGTTCCTTCCTTCTCCTGGGCAGCGCTTTTGTGTCTTCCTCTGACAGTTCCCTCCTATTAGCTCAGAACAAAGGATAGGTGGACATCTCCATACCTGTCTGACAACTGGAAAGTATTTTGAGGGAAGAACGTGTGCTTTAAAAAGTTTACAGCTCGCATGGTGTAAACGTACTGATGTTTATATGGGAGTGGTGTGTTTCTAGAACGCATCGGTTAGAAATGCTTCACCGCCCTTCTTGATCACCCAGGAATTAGGAGACAACTTGAGTGCAGTGGCTGCTTGAAGGAAGGTGTGTGCCTGCATTTCCTCTGTGTGGGTGTGCAACAGTGAGTACTATTTTATCTGAGACCCCCCAAGCCTGGCATACTGCTGTGTGCACCTCTTCCCTTCCCACTTCTGCTGGGAAGGGATGGAAGGGCAGGCTGCAGGGACCCCAGGCTTGCATCTCTCCTGCTGCTGGTGGGTTCAGCTTTCTGATGGCACGGGTCAGGGGCAGCATCCTTCTGAGGGACCTTGTTCAGATGATGTATGTGGTGGTGCTGGCTCCTGCTGAGTGCGTTGCGCACGGTGAGGCTCGGATCGTCTTGCCTTCTTTGTTCCCTCTGGAATACTTTGAAGCTGTGGAAGTGTCAGCAGTGCTGGTGATTAGGCTGTGGTGGGAGTGAATTTTAAGTGGGACTGCTCTTCAGCGTGAACATATTGATGTGAGTGTGTCACACAGCCTGTCAGCCGAGTTACAGCTCCCAGCTGCGCTGTGTGCCTGCTTTATGGATTGCTTCCAACCTGGGATAAGCCCAGCCGGGTTGCTGCAGGCAGGGCTGAGCCGTCTTGCCGTGCCCACTGGGCATTGGTGCCTCCTCCTGCCCCACAGATCAGAAGCAGTGCATGGGAATCGCTGGCTCCTGCTTCTGTTTGGGCTGGCTGTGGGAAGGCAGACTGTGCCTGCTCATCTGTCTGCAATGCAGCCGCACAATTGGCTCTCTGAAGGAAGGGAATTCATTAGCTCCCGTGAAGTGGCCTCGGATCTCTGGGCAGCAGGTGCTCCTATAGAGCAAACTGTTGCTGAATATTCAACAGTTGCTACACAAGCCTGGCCCGCTGCCTGCGAAGTACTTGAAGATATCTTAAGCAGCCAGTTAGGTAGAGTGCAAAGTACTCGGTGCGCACTGCCACTCGCAGCTACGTTGTGTTGCTATCGTTTGAACTCAGTGTACTTTTAATGGGAATATTCTGGTACCGTAAGCAGCAGTTTCATCTCTCTTAACTCAGCCCACACAAAAGGGTGCTGCATAGAGCAGCGGTGATTCACGCTCAGGGCATCAGAACCCTTTTCTTTCTCCTTCTGGTTTTGGGTCATGCATGTGCTCTGAAAATGAGTGACTCAGGACAGAGGTGTCTCCTAATCTATAATATAATGCTTGGGGTTCAGCTAGCTCTTTTAGGAGTGCCTGAATAATGCTTGTTCTTGCCGAGCTCTAAATTGGTACAGTAGGTACCTAATTGTGGACAAGTCAATGGAAAGCACTGCACTCAGCCTTTTGTTTTTTTTTCTTCTGGAGTTCAGTTCCCTTAGGTGTGGCCTGAAAAGCAGCACTGTGAAACCGGGGTGCTGTGAGAGACTGTGATCACTGAGCAATTACACAAATGTAAATATCTCCCAGCATTACTCAGCAACACGTGGGTCCAGCTATTGTAGCTCCAGTCCTGACTTCTTGTTGTGGCAGCTGTCTTAACTCGTGCTCTTGCTTTCAAGGTGTTTCATCTGTGCTCTTCTAAAGATTATTGGGGCTGTGGGAGGAAAGCTTCCCATATCAGCAGTGTGGTGGTGGCTGCACTGAAGGGCAGTGCAATGGAGGGAGCTGGAGAGGCCGTGCAGGAGTTACTGCAGTGTATGGCACAGTCTGTGCTGCAGCTGGGGGTCTGAACACCAATACAAGTACATGGGGTTGCCAGAAAGTGATAGGGAGGAGAAGCGAGCCCTTAGTCTTTATACACAACACTGCACATTTAATTGCTTATGGACTTTTTTTTTTGGAAGAGCATCTAGGATGCTATTATTAGAAAAAAAGTCTGTTGTTACCACATGGAACTCTTCTTGGCCTTTACTTCCTTCTGTGAGCTTCTTTAATACCGGTGAGATTTCTGTGCTGTAAGGACTTGCTTAAGCAGAGACTTCTCCAAGACCTCTCAAAAGAGATGCTAATTGGGAGGTAGGGCTGTGCAGAGTTCTTTTCTTCTTTCCTGCCCTGATTTGCAAGCTCATGCTTCACAGATCCACTGTGTGCTCCACTGTGTCTCTTTTCCCAGCTTGGATCCGGCTTTTGCCAGCTGGTGCAATTCTATAATGGCAGTCAGAGCCTAATTGCATTAAATGTTTTAAGAGAAATGGGGGCTCCACACCTGTGGGGCACAAAGAAGAAATGTTGGAGTAAACAAACACTCCTGGATGCTGCTGAAATATTGGAAATGTGAGTTTACAACACGATTTTCAGGCATATAAATATTTCAGGAAAAAATGGAAACCGAGACCTGCATTTCTAATAGCAGTCGGTGCAAATCTGAGAGAGCTGCAGCTTCTGGCTGACTCTTACATTGAGATGGAAAAGCCACTAAGGAGAAATCGCTCTCATTGGCATAGAAAATATCTCTGGTTCTGAAAAAAGAGATTTAATTCTCCATGGCAGTGGCAGAGCTGTGTCCTGGGCAGCAGAGGATGCCTGGAAGGCAGGTAGGTGCTGAAGGAGCAGCTGGGGCACACAGCAGTGCAGGGCTCTGGGCAGGAGGGCTGAGTGTTCCTGGATGAAATGCTTTGTTATGTGTGCCAGTAAACTGTGCTTTCAGTGTGTGGTTGTCTTGGCTTGCTGGCAGCAGTTCAGAGGTGAAGCTGCTGAAGCTGCCTGTGTGGCTTGCAGGTGAGCGTGAAAGCAGAGCTGTGGATCAGAGCAGTGCTATGGGACCTCAGGTAGCTTTTGTCTCACTGGATGGAGCTGCCAAGACAATACTGTGTCCCCACGTGGCATAAAAAAGGACAGTGAAATCTTAGGCTTTATTTTTTTCCATCAAAGAATCTTTTTGTTTGTTTGCCTCTCAAGGACAGGAAAACAGAAAGCAGCTTGCCTTGATTATTGTGAATGTTCATGGGGCAAGAATGAGAGGGAGGGGATGAGCAACAACAGGGGAGTGTTGCAGAGATGAGAATGACGCCTTAGTTTAGTTGATACTTGATGAGGATGTGGTTCCAGGAAGCAGGAACAGATGGCTTTGAAGCTTTTTGTTTTCTCTCTGGCTCTCTGAAATCTCTGATTGCCACCACGGCTTACCATAATATTATTTTTTTTTTAAACAACTATAGATTTTTGCCTAGCCACAAAGACAAAGTAAGCTGTTGTATTTACCTGGTTTGCTTCTGTTAATTGATCATATTAATACATGAAGTGGCTGGGAGTCGGTCCTGTGATAATCTTCTTACAAAGGATACCTCTTTCTAGATTAAAAAACGTTTGAGGATATTTACTACTCTGATTGCATTTTGACAGTAAATGGGGGCAAAACTGACTGCATTTCATAACAGTCTTGTTGTAACTCTCCTATAGAATAGAGGCAGTAGGTCAGGGATGCTATTCAAGCTGTATGGGAGGTACAAGCTACCCTGCAGGTTTGTCGGACCTGGTCTTTTGTAAAGCACATCAGACTTTTTGTTTTATGGCTTTAATCAGTCCCATTCTTGCTTACCAGGCAATTTGGAGAGTGGGTTATTGCTTCCCCTGAATCCTCTTAGCTGCCTTAAAGGATGATACGAATTGACTTCTCATTCTTCTTTCGCTAGGGTGGTGAAATCCAGGACTGCACCTACTTGGACAGCGAAGGCATCTACAGTGAGTTGGAGCTGTTCCCTGATGAGGACACGATGACTCTGGCACAGCAGGAGGTGCACCATGAGTCTGACATGGACAGTGCCATTGAGAGCGCCCAGAGCTCAGAGGCCTCCGATGTGTGTCGGAGCGAGGAGAAGGATGGCATGCTTGGTGTCCTGTTTCTGCCTGGTGACAAGTGAGTGGTGGCTTTGCCCCCTGGCAGCCCTGTTTTCTGAGTCATATGTAAAAGCACCAAGGAGGAAGGAGCTCTTATTTGGCTGATTCTTGCTTGGGGAGGCTGAAGATGCCTGAAGGATTTAGAAATTGGATATCAATTTAAAATATAAGGGAGGTAGATGTCTGAGCACTTAAAGGACCTGGACAGTCTCGTCCCTGGCTTCTGACATGTTCTGTGGACACCTGTGGGAATTATGTTTTGTGTGTTGAAGTGACAATTTTGGGTTGTCCCTTTTCAGAAAGGATCCCTTTATTGGCTTCACCCAGAACTTAGAACCTTCTGTGTTCCTGTGCCTTTTGTGTGCTGGAGTTAAAATACTTTCCACAGAGCAGCACAATATGGGGAATATTGCTTTAGTTTTCTGTATGTGTAATTATCTGAAGATATGGGCACTGCGGATTTGCTTTGCAGCTCCATGTACCAAGTTAATTCTGCCTGTTTCTAATTTTATGTGACCATTAGTGTGCAGCAGTAACTTGTGTTTAACACAGGGTGTCCTGGCATGTGTGTCTATAACCACTGTTTGCTATTAACACAGGAATGTCTCAGTAATCCAAACTTGACTCTTTACAGGTGCATATCTGGAGAATGCTGGTAAAAGCTGAGTTGTAGGAGGAGGGACTCAATCTGATTTAATCTTGCTTTGCTGTGTTAATGCAGTACAGCAGGACAGAGCACAGCTGGGCCTGTTTTGTAAGCCTCTGCACTTTCTTCCTTACTTTTGGTTTGTCATCTTGGTTTGCTCCTCTTGAGTTTTCCTCACTTGTCTTCTTTTCTGGTCACTTCAGGTGTTCTCTGTGCAGCCTCATTCCTGCTCTCCTGAGTTTCTCAGCTAGCTGAGATCTGGCCTTCTCCCACTTGCCTTGGCAGTCTCGGATACTTTATCAAGCTAATTTCAGTTTTTTGTCAGTTCTTCATCAAGCTTTTCTCCTTGCCTTATGACTCCTGGCTCTTCTAAGCACCTGTCCTCAGAGTGATAGACTTTAGCTATATCCCATTTGAAATAAGTGTATTGCCTTCAAAGTGTATAGTTCAGGCTCTTATGAATGGGGATGGGATGTTGTGCATCCTGCCACCTCCATCTAGGGGGTTTGGGAACTCCTGAAAGTTATTACATGCCTACTAAAATCTTGCTTTATCCTCTGAGGTTGTCACAGATAAGGTCATATGTCACTATAAGAGAGAAGAAGCAAAACTTACGTGACTTAGGATTTGTGGTGGCAAAAATCACAGATAAATAAAGAACAGGGCCAGACAAAACTATTAAGGAGAGTTTTCCATTGTGTCATGAGGTTTAGAATGGACCTGCTGGCTAACAGTTTGTCTGAAATATTTTATGTACAATTAGTGCTTTATATCACTCAAATCATTTAGCAAGTCATTAGCAGATAAAACGTCTCTCAATCTTGCAGGAAGTTTTGTGAGGCTGGCTAGTAGTCACTGAGTATCTGCTGCAGGTAAGGAATCTCATCCTTGAGGAGTGGGCCTGAAAGGCAGCCCTGCTCCAGGGACAGATCCTGTTGTGCCGCCTGCTGCTGTGCAGGGAGGCTCCAGGCTGTTTGCTTATGGAGCAAATGACTGACTACTGGTCATGTTTGTATCAGCCACGTTTGGTTGGTGCATGCTGTCTCCCCCGAATCCACAGGCAGTTGCATGCATCAGGGCTGCCACGTGCCTGGCTCTGCTGAGCTGTGTGCCTTTGTCTGCTCCTGCTCTCAGGTTGTAGGACAATATTAGATACTAGTGGTTATAAAGCAGCTTTCTCTTGTGGTCCGAATCTCCTTTGAAAGACAAGTTTTGTCATGATGGAAGGAAGGGCCGGGAAATATCCTCAGATCTCATCTGTGGTCTTAGAGACCATCATATCCCAGCTCATCTGGCACGTGGTGAGCTGAAGTTTGGCTCTTGACAAAAGAGGGTGGCTGGAGCTCATGGGCTGTGGGAGAGGGCTTATGGAGGTTTCTGGGAAACTGGTTAGGGAGTGCAGTGACTGCCTCAGTCTTGTACACATCCTTATTGCTAGCCTGTGCGTTTTGGAGATGTTTGCATAGTTCCTGCCTTCAGCCAAAATCCTATAAGCAGAAGTCTTCACCACCACATGGAAGCAATGGCTGAGAGTTGCTGAGCTGTGCTACTCAAAGCACAGTGGTGTTGATCCAAGCCCGTCTCACTGGTATCTTGTTTGTAGATTCTCAGTGCATATCAGATGTGTTTGTCATTTGAATTTGTAACCTGTTTAAAAACTGGAGTGAAGGGACAAGCTGAAAAGGTGCAACATTCCATGTGAGGTGAGATGCTGTCAAAGATGGCCTTCCAGATGTTTCGACCTCTTGTTTCAGGGCAAGTCCTCACAACCCTTCTGCAGCATCTGACCTCTCCACTTATTCCACCGCCTCTCTGATCAGTAATGAAGAGCAGTTTGAAGACTATGGGGAAGGAGACGATGTGGATTTTACTCCCAGTAGCCCCTGTCCTGATGATGAGACCAGAACCAACGCCTACTCTGACCTTGGCTCATCTGTATCTTCCAGGTTGCTCCTTGTTCCTTAACAAACATTTCTTAAATTTTTTTATTCTCCTTTTGAGCCTGAGTGACCATACTAGAATTTCCAGTGGTTACAAAGACTCACCTCAAAAGGAAAATATTATCAGCTCATTTTCTGCCCTCCAGGTAACAGTGTACACTTGATAATCAAAGCTGTGGCAAATAACTTTGTATCTGATAGTTATTATTGGGTTCTTCTGAAAAAAAACTGTGCTTTTCTGCTTGTATAGTTTCCTTTCTGTTGCAGGTAGGAGGTATCACAGTTAAGGGTTAGTATTGGAAGTTACTTGCTGTAAGTCAGAAACAAGCTTAATGCTTTGAACTAGCCCTGGTGCAGTGGAGAAATCTGCAAGAGAGCTGTTTCTTGTTAGAGTTCTAATACTGCAAATCTTTCATGTTTTCTTGTAAGATGAAGTTCCACATACAGACAGGTTGATTTGAAACAAGACTTTAAAAGACTTAAAAATCTTTCCCCATGCAAGGAATTGGTTGAACAGAGTTGGTGAAGAACCAAGCACGAAGACTTTCCAGGATTTATCTGCTTGAATCAAAAACATATCAAGATCTCGTGCTTCATTGCTGACACAGAACAAGCTCATTCCATCCCACTGTTCCACATGCAACCCTTGCATGCTACCCTCTGTTTGAAGGAATTCTGCAATCCAACCTCGCTACCTTGGTCATGCATGCAGAGCCAGCACTCCTCTCTGCTGCACTTTCATGGTGATGACTTACATCCTTCATTTCTCAGGTTTATGCAGTCCTTTCCATTCTCATTCCTGAGGCTCTATGCATTTCGTGTTATGATTGCTTTCTTTTGAGTTTATTTTCCTCTTCTTTATCTATGTCTGCTTCTTCCTTTGTGTCACTTCTTCTTACCAACTGCTGTTTTTCATCTTCCTGCCTTTCTCTTGGAGAAAGGACTCTTCAGGTTGCATGCCAGACAGGGGGAAGATGGGCAGGATGAGAGAGGGGATATTGCTGAGGTGAAATGTAGCTGCTTTTGCTATGTTCATCACATGGACTCTGTGTGTCTTGAGCTATTCTTCCCATTGCCCAAACTGATTCTTTGCACTGATGCCCAGAACCTGTACTCTGTAGAGACTCAGCTCAGGCAGGTAGGCTTACCCTTAAACTAGTGTTCCTCATTGTTACCTCTAAGGTAAATGAGCTGTGGTGAGAGGTGGCATCTCACGTCCCTTGTCTGTGATTCTGACACACAGTAAGGAGGAAAACCTGCTGTGAGTTGGTTACTGTAGCCAGTAATATCTCTCCTTTCCTGCAAACAGTGCTGGCCAAACACCCCGAAAAATGAGGCATGTTTATAACAGCGAGTTACTGGATGTTTACTGCTCACAGTGCTGCAAAAAGATAAATCTACTCAACGATTTGGAAGCCAGGCTGAAAAACTTGAAAGCAAACAGGTAAGCAGCCTACTGCAGTGCTTCTAGTAGTGTTCCTGTGAAATAGAACCAGTTAGTGGCAGGAAGAGAGGAAGAAAGAGCCCCTTCTTTCCTTGTGTTCCGTTCTATCTTACACGTTTTCTTGTTCTTACAAAGCAGTAAGAAACTCAGACCTTGACATCTAGCCTCAACTTAAGTGCAGCTCCTCATGAAGTAATAAGTATTTTTCCGACTTGAGTTCATTAAAGCTGTCTACACCTTGAATACATAAACTAATGAGCTGTTTGATCTCAGAGTAAGAGTGACATGTCTGGGATTTTTTTCTCTGGAAGTGGGGTCTGCTGTGCTTCTTAGTGCAGACCTGCAGTTAGCTGCCTGTTTCTCCAGGTGGGAAGGGGTGATGTGACACTGTTAGCTGATGTGCATAACCTCGCATCTCACAAAGCTATTGGCAATGGAGGTACTTCATTCCTGTGCACGTTTTTCTTTTATTTATTTATTTATTTTTTTTTTTTGTGAGAACTTGGGGAAAAAAAGTTGAATCATAGGGCAGAAATGACTTCTGGGGTTCCTTGTAAATTCAGCTGTCTTTACATTTCTATCCCTGTCACTCCAACCAATTCTGAGCTGTGCTGAGCACACAGAACTGCCATCAGTTAGGCTTTTTGAAGGAAATCATTTGATGGGCTTCTAGCTCCCCCTAGAAACTAAATGTAAATCCTGCCTGTCTGTGTAGTCTGTGGCATGGTGCACTGCTTCTTCTTTTGACACAGCAGGATGGTACTTGATCTGAACAGTGTTCCTGCCTTGGCAAGTAGTCTGCTCAAACCCAGACTGTGCCTGGACGGATCTTAGGTAGTTTTATGAGCAGAGCTGTATATACATGGCTGGAAGAGAGGTGTGTGCCTGAGTGTGCCCAGAGACGTGGCATCTTCTGAGAGCCAACTAGATATTTGCCTCTTCCAGATGGATTCATGTGGTTCTAATCTTCTAGTCTGGAGTGCAGTCCCTCCTTTGGATAATAACTGATCTTTGGCTGTAAAAGGAAACTGCAAAAATTGGAAGTATCTCAGTCCCTGTGCTGAATTGAGAAGTATTATGGTGAAGGATAAGCTGTCTGTTTATAAAATCATCTGAAATTCGGGAATCCCAAATAAATGTCCACCTCTAACATCACTCGGTGTCCCTTTGTGATATTTCTAATGTTAACTTCACTCTGATTTACACTCACAAATCTGCTAAATATAACAGTACTTGCAAATTGACTTATTAACGATCACAGTAACTTGTGGCTCCACTCACCTTCACATTGTTAGTAACTGCAGCTCTTGCTTGAGGATATTGTTCACAGAATCTTTTTTTTTTTTCTAATTTCACAAATAGAGTCAGTGTTATGTTTCATTGTGCCATTTGGTTAGAGGTTAAACTGAGATTTATTTGATCGCTGTTGAATTCAGTGTTTAATTCCTGTATCATTGCTTCTGTATCTTTGTAGCCCTAACAGGAAAATATCAAGCACAGCTTTTGGAAGGTAAGCATCTTCAACTTTTTTCTGAGTACTTCTGGGATCAGCTTTAACAATTCTATAACTAACAGAGAAGGCAGAGGAGAAATAAACTTAGGAAAACAAAAAGATGCCAAGATGGATTTTCAAGAAAAGAGGCTTGTGGTGATATTACAGAATACAGAAGTCTCTGTTAGTTCTGGAGCAGGCTCCTGAACTGGGAAGAGCTCTATTAAGATCACTGATGGTTTCTTCCTTTAAACTGCTGTTCCATCAGTCCAGCTATCGCTTCTGTCCCCCATCATAGTGTGGACATTTGGTTTCATTGCTAAAATGCAAAGGATAGCAAGAGCATGCTTTTGTAAAGGACATATGGAACTGTGGTATGTCATTTGGCTGAATAAATCAGCCCTGGACTGGGGGGAGCTCTAAGATTCAAGCAGTACTGCAGGTAATCTGTAATATATGTATTATGATGTGGTTCTGTGTTGGGAACTGAGATTGTAATTTCTTTTGTGCCTGTTTATAGAGAAGCTCTTACTGTATGAAATTTATTCTAAATTAGCCATACCAACCAGTATACAGTGACAACCTTTAAACTTCTAAAAAAGCAAATGCACCTTGGTATGTAGTGTGAATAAACCTCAGTAAGTTCAAAGCCATGCTGATGATGGATCCTATCGAATCCAAAAGAGACCTCACACCCTGGAACTGATGTTGTGCTCTTTGTATGACTGTTTAGTTACCAGTCCCTTGTAAGGCGTGTGCTTAAGCAGAGGTAATTGTCACTGAGATGACTGAACATCTGGTGCTAAAATCTGTGCAAAGTGCAAAACCAGGCTGTAAGGCAGCACCTGGACTCTTTTTCTTCTCATCAAGTAAAATAATTATCTTTGTGATCTTTCAGGCAGCTCTTCCACAATAGCAACTTCAGCAGCAGTAATGGCAGCACAGAAGACCTGTTCAGAGATAGTATAGACTCCTGTGATAATGATATAACTGAAAAGGTGAGAAGCTGTGTGCGTTGCAATTAAATGTGCCTAAACCAAATCCTCCTCGAGACATGCATCAACTGATGAAGCTCTGCTTGCAGTGGTCTGAAGTAGTTCATTCAAAGTGCCTAAGATATTCCATTAATAGTAAAACTCTGCTTCACAAACATGCAAGAGATGTGAAAGTACAGATCTGCAGTCATTGCATTTGTACTTCTTTACTGTGTCGTTGCACTGATTCAGGCTTAATTTTGCCACCATCTTTGCAGGAAAATATGGTCTCTTCAAAGAGGCTACCATAGCAGAATGTTCATTAGAAACAGTGAAGGGCTGTGTGAAGAGAGATTCAGTCTCTTAGTTCTTCTTCTCCACTTTCTCCTCTTCCAGGTAACATACCTAGAAAAAAAGGTTACAGAATTGGAAAATGATAACCTGACTAATGGTGACCTGAAGAGCAAACTGAAACAAGAGAACACGCAGTTAGTTCACAGGTAATGAATCATGGAACCAGTTCTTTTTGTGTCACAGCAGAGCCAGAACAAAGTTGAGGGTAAAGAACATCTCTGTGAAATACGGCCACGTTTTCTGCATAGGACTGACAGAACAAAACAAGATAAGGCTTCCTGTGAGAAGTCCGAGTGGAACAGGACTGCCTTCCTAAATTTTCAGCAGGCAGATACCTTCCAAGCAAATTTCTTAATACTGTTACTGTAATGAGAACTTAGAATTTTTGTTATAAAAGGGGTTACCATGCTTGCTTTTCTGTTTTTGTATATATATATTTTAATCCATGTAGAAAGGAAGTCTGGTTATTGTTTCTTGAGACTGAGAATGAGGAGATGGGTGGGTACTGCTATATACTCTGCATGTGTTGGGAAGATTGAATACCAAGAGAACTTTTGGCAGAAGTCAAGTGTTGAGAGAGAGAGAGAAGTAAAATGGAATAAAAGAGTGAGAAGGAAAGCAGGCAATGAAGTTGCACACATTATTTTATTTAAAAAAACGTGTGAAATGATTACTGAAATGATTACTGGCTTCCTTAGGGTTCATGAGCTGGAAGAGCTATTGAAAGACCAAGAGACATCAGCAGAACAAACCCTGGAAGAAGAGATAAAGAGACATCGAGAAGCTTATAGCAAGTATGAAAAAGAGAAAGGCACGGAAATTGAACTGCTAAATACGAGGTAACAAAAGTCTTGATGCCTCCCAGGGCAGTGTACCAATGTTTGTTCTCTTCTGTTGCATGTGAATGTAGGCTGTTCACACTCGGTGCACAGATGGTTACAGGTTCAAAGTTCCACAGAGTAGCTGTGCAGTTGCATGTCTAATGCCCAAAAGCAAGGAGGATGTTTTACATTAATGCTTTAATCCACATAGCCCATGTAGACAGCTTAGCTGGTTATTTGGCATGGATTCAAGGAGAGAATTGCGGCCAGCTGTACCAGGCACTTGTCTCTGTACTCATTTCTTCATACTTGATTTTTTTTTTTATACATCAGTTGTGATTGAATATAAGAATCTGAGAGTCAGTGCAGTGTTCTTGGCCTTAACAACAACAAAAAAGCATACAACAGTGATTAAAAGTGCTAAGATTAGGCAGAGTTTCTCTGTAATCTTTCCATGAAGTGCAAGTGAAATGGCTTTTTAGAGCACACTGCTTTGCATGTCTGCATTCTTGAAAATACATTTTTCTCTAAGGCTTTTGTTATTGACACAGGGTTCAGCAACTGGAAGAAGAAAATGGTGAGCTGAAAACCACCGTCATGCGACTGAAATCACAAACAGAGAGATTAGATGAGGTAACACAAATCCTGAGTGTTGATCTTGTCTTGGATGTCAAGTGCGATTTGACAGCAGCTTGATTTGTATAAAGGCAGAGTCGTACAGCGGTTGGCTCGGGTTTTATAACTGGCCTTTCCTGAACAAGAATGTTATTGGAATTAGAGCATTGGTCACCTTTAGTATCAGAGGTGCTCTGAGATGCCTCACAGTTTGTCTAGGTGTAGCAGAGATGTGTGTCTGTAGGCTTGTGTTGAAAAACTCAGGGTGGCTCTTGCACTTGCAAACTAGCTGTAAAGTACCCAATTTATTCCAGGAAAGGCAACGCATGTCAGATAGGTTGGAGGACACCAGTCTGCGACTGAAGGATGAGATGGATTTGTACAAGAGGATGATGGACAAACTGCGACAGAACAGGCTGGAATTTAACAAGGAGAGGGAAGCCACACAGGAGGTAGGTATGAGGAAGGTTGTAAGACCAGGCAATTGCATCTTTATCATGAAAGCTCATCTGAAAAAGTACAGGTGTACAGGGTGAACACTGAAAATACAACATCTGGTGAATGTATTGTAGGATTGTGCACCTCTGACAGGGATATCCACAGGGCAATGAGTGTTGCAAGAATACCTAATAAATGACCATCTCCAAGGGTTTAATACTCTTTGAGAACTGGAAACCTTGAATGCATGCCATAAGATTTGCTGTGCTGAGCTTGGAAGGAGAATTATGCCTCTCAGACACCAAACTTGGACATCAAAGCTTTTTCCACCTCTGAAGCAGTTCAGATGTCTTGCCCTTCCACAGAAGGCAAAGGCTGTGCTGTATGAGTGTCTGTCCTTTGTCACAGTGCAGAGGTGCAGCACAGAGATGGCTGCTGCCAGGGAGGGCTGGTTGTGCAGAGGCTGGAGAGACGTGTTTCCTTGCAGCTCATTGAGGACTTGCGAAAGGAGCTGGAGCACTTGCAGCTCTACAAGCTGGAATGTGAGCGTCCTGGACGTGGGAGAAGTTCCTCATCCAGCGTGAGTGAATTCAATGCTAAAACCAGAGAGGTGGAAATGGAGCATGAAATAAAACGGCTGAAGCAGGTGAGCAGGGAAGGGCCTCACAGTGTGTGGGTGAGTCCAAAGGAACTGTGCAGGACTGCTCAGAATAATCCTGGTAGCTGCATGTGCCAGTATGGTGTCTTAAGGTTTCTGTATCCCCGCTCACTTTAACTTAAGATGTGCATTGCTTTTGTCTGGAACTTACAAGTTGTAAATTGTGTACCTAGGAAGCACCTGCAGTTCAGGTGAGGATGACTCTCACTGGTAAAAGAGTTGTTTGCTAACTTGTAGCCTTATTGTATTTCATCCACACTAGCTAATTTTTTTTTTTCCAATGAATCCATGTAGAAAGAACTTAAAAGGAATTTTTTCATCCTTAAACAGGAGAATCAGAAACTTCGTGACCAAAATGATGATCTTAATGGACAAATTCTTAGTCTGAGTATCTATGAAGCTAAAAATCTCTTTGCAACACAAACAAAAGCCCAGTCACTGGCTGCTGAGATTGACTCTGCATCTAGAGATGAGGTAATATGCTTTCTTCATCAAGTACTGCATCCAAAATCTTGATTTTTCAATGTAATTAACTGTCAAGGTTGATTTAATTGAAGCTGACAAATGAAAATCTGCTTTGCAAGGAGTTCAGGAATACTAGAAAATTAATTTAAATTTAACAGTGGTTCTGGGTGTTCCTTTCAACATAACTTTCTCACTTTTATCTCAAAACTGGAAATAGAATCTCAGTGAACTATTTTACAGGGGATTTATTTTAACATCTTCTATCTTGCAGGGTACTGTGCTATTGCAGCATTAATTTCATATAGAAATTGCTATAGCTGTTTAATTGAATTTTTACCTTCTGTTCTGGATTTAGTTCTAAGATACTTCAGTAACAAGCTTTTACTTAAATCTAAATCTGCCCTGTAGCAGAGCTGGATTCTTGCAGAAGGTAGGCGATGTGCAAGTGATAATGTGGTAATGCTCTGAAAGGGGACCATTGGCATGAGGGCTGAATCAAGGTGTGACTTCCTTTAAGCTGCAGGGTAGATCATGAGGTCAGGCCAGCAGATACGTGGAAGTTCCCAAAGATAAAGACAAGTTAGGGATGAAAGAGTTTTAAAAGAATTGCTTAATTCTACGCATTGCTTCTTCTGGACAGAACTTTCTCTCATCTTCAAGAGGAGTTTTGAGACAAACCTTTTTATTCAGTGTGTACCTGAATGGCCCTGTTAGTCCCTGGACAGTCTCTTGTAGTGAGTTATGTACTCAAATGTCTTGCTGAACAAAAGCAGTGTGACGAAAGGCTGTTTAATTGTAGAACTCTATTTGAATGGAAGCAAATTGGGGTTTTTGCTGTTGTTGAGACGGATCTTTATTTTTCCTTTGGAATTTCCTGTCTTTGGCTCATGCAGAGAATGCCCAGCACCACCCTATAGAGGAGCAGCATGCCTTGCAGCTGTAGTAAACCTCACAGACCAGTGTTAATCTTTCTCATTTTTCTCTTTTTCCTATATAATTGAAATGAAGGTAAGAGGCTGCAGGTTGAGGGTGAGACTTCCCTGAAGGCTTATGGAAATGGACACTCAAATCACATCAGCTTTAGGAGGATGTGGGGCTTTGACACGTCTGGGCAACTTTGGCAACAAAGCGATCTGTCTTCATCTTTGGAGGGATTAAAGGGTTTTTTTCACAGCTCAGAAGTTTAGTGGACAACAGCACGTTTTGAATGCAGGACATAAAACATCCCGTGGATTTTTCTTGAGTATACACAGCTAGGGTGTTTATTGTTGTTTTTTTAAGAGAATATGCATGTGATACAGAGGGAATATCTGTACTGTTCCCAGTATGTACCAGTGTTCTGTTCAGCAGGCTTGCGTGCAAATCTACTGAAATCTAAAGAGCTTTGTAGAAATTGGGCGCCATGAAGTTCTTCCACTGAGATGAGGAAGTTCATCCAAGGTGTGGGTGCAGGATTGCTGGGTTAGATGTGGAATTTCTATTTCATATGACCTGCCAAAAGATTCCTGATGGTGACCATTCACCACCTTCCTAAATAATAAAGATCTTTAACATGCAGATCGTTTCTAACAGATAAAGAGAGGAGGCTGGGGTCGAATACAGCATGAGGTAATTGGTGATCTTGGCAGGTGATTGTCTCTTACCTCAATATGAGTTCGTGCTGTTTGGTTAAATGTTCTGCAAGAGTAAATCTGAAATGTTGTGTTTCAGCTCATGGAAGCCCTTAAAGAACAGGAAGAGATCAATTACAGATTGCGACAGTATATGGACAAGATCATTCTGGCAATCCTAGATCACAACCCATCCATCTTGGAAATAAAGAATTGAAGTGAATACAGAAAAGAAAAGCAGCAACTGCCCTATATTTCTGCACATGCCACTGGATCTAAACAACACTCTGATACTGTAAATTAGCCTATAAATATATATATATATACACTACATGTGAGTGTGGGTGCGCGGGTGTGTTTATATGACATTTGGTACACTGTTATTTGTCACTGAATTGGCTTGGTTAGACTTCCTTGCACTTTCAATACCTGTGTCAAGATAGATACTGTATATTAATGTAATAACAATATAACTGGATTATGCTGTTTTAGATACTGGACAAAATGACTCTACCTCTAGTTGTAAAGGTGGAAGAAAGACAGTGGAAACATATGGATGTGACCCTAACTTTAGGAGCAAGATTTGTTCTTTTGTTCTTCCTGGAATTTGGGTATCACAAAGCAAATATTATACCCAGGTTCAGTCCCTAACTGGTGCTGACTGTGTCATTTCCTATTCAATTGAGCTTTATTACTTAAGAAACACCCAGGAAAAGAACATTTGTGGAAAAGAAAAGAGACAAAGTAAAAAGAGAAGTGGAAGAAATGGCTGAATGTTTGCTATCTGTAAAATCACTATCCATCTGTTTGCCACTGTCAGCACCAAGTGCTTTCTATAGAAGATCACTGCTTTGGGATGCTTTGAGCCAACCCACTCTTTTGTGTGTGAGTGTGTGTGTGCACATGTGTATATTTTATGCCAGGGTTCCTGTAGCACTGAGGCTAGGAATCTCTTCAACTCTATTCCCCTATTTTCAGGGGTTCATTGTAGAATGGCGTGGGCCAGAAAGGACTTTAAAGGTTGTATGGATCATGCCACCTACTCTAGGCAGGATTGCCACCTACTGGATCAGGCCAGCCTGGCCTTGAATGCATCCAGAGATGGGGCATCCATAACTTCTCAAGGCAGGCCTGTTCTGCCTCTCCACCCTCTAGGTAAAGAATTTCCTCTGAACAGCTGACTGGAATCTCTCTCCCCTGCTTTTCAAACCCATTCTCTTTGTCCTGTTATTATCAGATTGTGTAAAAATGGATCTCCCTCTTGTTTATAAGCTCTTTTCCAGTACTAAAGGCTGAAGTGAGGTTTCCCTGGAACCTTCTCCAGGCCGCACAAGCCCAGTTCCTTTGGTGTTCCTTCCTAGGAGGTGATTCAGCCCTTGCATCTCCGTGGCCTTCTCTGGACCCACTCTTAACAGCAGCACATCTTGTGCTGGTCACCATATGCCAGGTGGGGCCTCGAGGGCAGAGCAGAGGGGGACAATCACCTCCCTCACCTTGCTGGCCCAACACACAGTTTTTGTCCATCAGGATCCCCCCAAGTTCTTCTCTACAGGGCTGCTGTCAATGAGTTGTTCTCACAGTCTGTGCTCACATCTGGGGTTGCTCTGGCCGAGGCGCAGCACCTTGTGCTTGGCTTTGCTCAACCTCATTTGGTTCATTTGAGCCTGTCCTTCTCGAGTCCTCCTGCAGCACGTGGGCCATTCAAATGGATTCTGCAATCCCGTATCTTCGTAATTTTAAATGTTTCACAGAAGGAGCATATTTCAGTTCTAAAAGAATAATAGTAATAAAATACGTGTTGTTTTCTCACCATCAGACACTGCATTGCTTGGAGAGTGGCATTTTGTGGACAAGCTGTGGGAAGGGCCATCTGGGTCCTGTCATGGTGATAGGGGAAGCCTCATGTGAAGTGGCTTTTACTTCTAGGGCAGTAAAAAATAGAAGAGCTTGGTCTTGCATAAGTTGTCAACCCAGGCTGAGTACACACGTGCTTGTCTGAAGCTCTGAACAGGGAATGCATTCTGGCTTACGTGAGCAGTTGTATGAGTGCTTAACTTTAAATGCATGCTGTGACTGCTCATAGAAGTCAGTGGGACAGGACATAAAGCTTTAAAATTGAGTGTGTGCTCAGCTGCTGCCTTAAGTAGAGATGGACTTCAATGTGTGCCTGTGTTTTCCTTGGCTGGATCTCTGTGATGTAGTGCTAGGACCTTTTTAATTAATGATGTAGCTTATATAGAAGAAGCTTATGGCATTGTCTGATAATTGAATGCTTAGAAGATTTTTATTCTGTGCATTTTTTTTTTTTTAACTAAAAATTTTACACTTCAAAATTCTTTTTGATTGATGCCAACTGGCACAGAAAATAGGCCCTTCCTCATAGTGATGTGGCTCTTCCCACTGCCCAGAGCTGTTCACTCTATTGAATGCACTCCCCAGGAGAATGTGACAGTAGCAGTGACTGTGCTTTTCTGTGTATATCTTGCTGTTGGCAGCCTTGCCCCTAGTATTCTCTTGCTGTATCTTGGTGTGTGTGTGTGATATATTCTTCCTCAAGTCGAATACATATCTGTATTCAGTTATGGGTGTAAATATATATATATTTTTCTGTAGTTTTTGTGCTCTTGCCTTCAGTGACGTGTTACTGGAGTGTTGGGAAGGGGAGGGGGGGAGGTACTGAAATTAGGCTGTCTTGAAGGCAAGAAAATAAAAACAATTTGTTTCTATGTATCTGCAATAGGCAGGTGTAAAGTAACTGGAAAGCCAGAGGGACCAGAGGAATAATGATGGGATGCAGCATCCCAGAAGCGAAGAAGTCAGTGGGACTTCAGTGCGCTGGGAGAAATGTTACAGTCTTGATCAAACAGTGATGTCTCAGGGCTGGATTCCTGAGGCCACAGGGTAATCTGAAGGAAGGGATTTAAAGACTGTCCCTCTACCAGCTGGGAATGGTGTAAATTGCTCTGTGCTAAATTGCAGCAGCTTCTGTTTGTGGAGAAACGGGTGGATCGCCCCTCAGTACGCCCTGTTCCACCACTGCTGCTTCTGGATGTGCCACCCAGCAGGTAGGAGAGAAACAGTCAAACCAGCTTGGTGCTACCTACAGATACCTGCCAGGAGGACTCCTCACCTGTGATGCAGTGATGATGTCTCCATCTGCGTGGTGCTGTTAGTGAATTGTGCCAAGGACTTTGCTCTTTTTGTAGGCCACTGAGAACTGTTTCAGTTGTTGGGTGGCTGTTGCTAACGTCCTGTGTCGTGCAGGGCTGGGTGAGCCAGCAGCCCTGCTGATGGGGCTTTTCCTTGGTAAGTTACACTTCTGTCCCTCTCTCCTGCTCTGGATTTACGTGTAAGTGAAGCTGTTGCAGGTCAGACTGGTGACTGAATGTTTTTCTCCTGAATATTTTGAAGTAAACTGGACTCAATTTTAAAATTTTAATAACTTAAAGCCCATTCTTGTTAGGGTAGAACATCAGCAAATGTTGAGGACTAAGACTAGTTTGCAGAAAACTGTGCTGAGCACTTGGGAAGCAATGCGCACAGCTGGCTTCACTGAACCTGCAGAGCTGAAGGACACGAGTGGAAGAAATGAATGTGGGAATATGCAAGATTCTGTGCAGGTAAATATGTAAGAAGTTAATAGTTACTGATAGTAACTCACCACTGAGTGGCTGCAATCCTGGAAATGGCACGCTAGCTGAGGGTGCACAGCAGTGAATTTCCTACAGATTTGCAGGACTTCTCGTTTAGCTCTGCACCCACTGGCTTTAGAATTTAAAAGGTGTTCATTCCTTGCTCCACGGTGTTGGCATTTGAAGAGTTTTCTTACCACCACGTTGGTGCTGTTTGTAGCTTTGTTGTATTGCAAAGAAGTTTCAATTCCATACGTGTGGGGCTGTTGGCGTGGTACTGCTTTCAATTAGCTCTCAAATACATATGCAGACCCTTACTGTGTTTTACAGGTGATGTGAGTTGGAGGTGGGAGATCCATTCCTTTGACAGATACGCTTTCCTCTATGGTATCCACCTCTAAAAATAATTAGATGGCAATTGCATCTTTAAGCTGTCTGATTGCAGCTCCCCAGTAACTACAGGCACTAGAACAAACCTGGAAGAAACCTTCTATCCTGCAAAATCAGTCATCACGTTTTATGACATAAAGGTAACTTGGCAGTAAGATCATCTTTGGTGGGTCACTGGAACAGTGGGGAGAGTAATTGGGTACCAGTTTTCCAGAGTATGTATATTTCAGTCAATACTTCAAACAGAAATAAGGTATAATCTCATTCTAGCAATACTCAAATGCAGTAAATGTTCTTGTGTTAAAATCACGCTTCTCATTTAACCCTCAGGGATGCAAACACAATCCAAGGTACTATCTCTTGATCTGCTCTTTAGCTCCTTATACTGTAGGATCTGAAAAGCTAAACGATATTCTGATCAAACTAATTGCAAACCACTGCAGGTGTTTTTGTGTGGTGGAAAAAAGAAAACGAGTCGCTCCTGGCTAGCATCAGTCCTTGGCCAGGCTGATCACACTCACAGGTGCTGTGGAAAAATACCTCTTCCAAAAGTTGCACTTAGGAGTTCCTGAAATGTGGTCTTTCAAGGTTTGCTGATATTGGCTGCTTCACTCCAAATGCCAGCCTTCAGCTTCTGGTTTCAGAGCGTGGTGCTGACTTAAAACTAGATTGACAGCAGAGCATTTTTCAGCTTTTTTAGTAACTTGTAATAAAGACTCAAGTTGTTCGCTGTGTTTTGAAATGTGACAGTGACAAACCGTGGCCATCCAATCTGTTTCTAAGAGTCTTTAATACACAGATTTGTAGCAAGTCTCAAAAAAATCCATACAGTTTTGCTGCCAAAACTTTCCTTTTATGGTCCTGGGAGAAATTCAGATGTTTCCCAGCCAGCTCTGTAGGCATTTGAGTGCAGTGTCACTAATTAATGGGTATATCAGCAGACACCTTGCTGTCTGACTGCAGCAAGGCTCTGTTCTACTCTCCAGAAGGGATCTTGGCCTGCTGTATTTAGACTGCCTAATCTGTTTAGGAATTGAAGGTGTGTGTAAACCTCGACCGTGGCCTGCAGCAGTCGCTGTGCAGCAGTCTCCAGGTCATGATGCTAACGGCATGTGATGGGTCTAAGAACTAGAATTTACAAGTAAATACTTCTTTTTAGTGGCAGTGGATGGACAGTGTTTTTTTCTCACATACTGCATGGTGTGGGGCGTTTTCCAAGGAAGGAAGGAAGCAGCAGCTGATCTGACACTTGCCGGATCGGTGGCTTATGTTGATTTCAGTGAAAAGCAGTAACTGCATTGGTTCTGGCATAAGCAGTAATCTTCATAGTCTTGCTAGGTCGTTTGTTACTCAAGGAACATATTCAAGAAAGCAGGACTGCTTACGTAGCCAACAGCTGATCTTGAAGGAAAGGAAACGTTCAGCAGCTGCTGGCACGTTGTTCCTTGGCAGCACCTTGGGATTGTTTTCTCAGTATTTCTCAATCCAAAATATTGATCCCAGGGCAGTTTGCCATTGAAGTGTGGAGTGTGTGTGAGTTTCTTCTCATTTATTGAAGCTTTGCACATACGTTGGCTGGAATCCTATAATCCTTGCAAGGGTTCTGTTCTGCACAGAGGGAGGCTTCGCTGGGGCTTCTGTGGTTATTCTCTGTTTTAAGAGACAGTGTTGGTTCAGCTGAGCACTACAAACAAAATCTTTCAGTAATTTAACCAAAGGCTTGTGTGTTAGCACACAATAATGCGGAACTTGAGCTGTGGATTATATTTATTAGGGTTTTTTTTATTATATAGTGACTAGAAGAGGTGTGAAATCCCCATCATGAGTAACTTGTTGTCCTTTTAAAAAGATTTAGAGAAAATTCTCACCTACTGCCTCTCACCCTTTGTTTTCTATAACCACTAAAGGAAGAAAAAAGAGAGAAGGGAAGAGTTCTGTTGTGCTTGGGGAAAAAAATGAAATGAAAAAGGAAGAACTGATGGCTCCCACAGAGGAACCTCTCGTGGCTCCCCTTAGCACTGAGAAATGTTTCATTTTTTTTTTTCCATCTGAGATCTCATTTGTGGTCATTCAGTCTTCTGTATCAAAAAAACAGCAGTTGCTGGTTGAACACTGAAGGACAAAGTTGAGGTTTGCTGAGGGTTAAAATATGGATGAGTGCTTTGCACAGACCAGCTCAGTTATCCGTGATTCGTGCACGTCAGTGGTGATCTGTCTGGGAGGGCACCTAATGCTGAATTGATGCTCTCAGGAAAGGCTCTTTCAGGCTGGCTGGAGCTCCTTGAGGGTGGGCTTTGTTCATGTGCTCCTCGTGCTTGCACCCCTTCAGTGTGACAGGTTGTCTGCAGAGCCAAGGGCTCTGCCCTTATTTGCAGGGGAGGACGAAGCAAGCTGTTCCTGCTGTGTTTGCAGCATGCCAAGGAGCAGCCACTGCTGAGGCTGAGGGAAATGCCACCTCAGTCTCACTGTGAGGCTGAACTCCGTCCTGGACAGACAGCACTGGGGATCCCTGTAAGCTTTACCTCAATTCTGAATAGCTATCCAGTGGCATGCTGTAATTGTACACTCTGTTTGCAGGCACAAACCTACTGGCTTAGCCTAGCAAGCATAACTTACGGATAATGCTGCCCATTCAGC